AGAGTAGAAAAAAATCAGCTGACTCTATCAGGGTCGGGTGGGAACTTTTCAGATTTGCTGGTATGACTCTGGAGTCTTTGCAAAATCTTTTAGTCTATATAACTAATGATTTATGCTTCATCCACTTCTGTCTCTTATTAACTCTCTCGGTGTACATTAGGTGTCAGCTCTGTTATATTTGTAATTTAACAGTGGGAGCTGGAGAGAAAACAGGTTACTGCAGCAGTAAAATCTGATTTACAGCAAGGTGAAATACATTCAGGATAATCACACAACAGGTTGCAACCATTCAGCTTTCAGGAAAACAGCCTGAGAGTGTGATTTATTTCTCACAGTGAGTAATCCCTTGAAAAAGACAGGGACCAGCAGGATGTTAAGACACACCTTGAGAGCAGCAGTAGTGTGTGCAGGTGTTTGATTTGCAGAAATGTATGCGGGTGAAGTTTTTGGCACTCGCATAGGAAATTTTCTGGGGGCAAGTAAGCTGAGTATGGTTTTATAAACGGATCATGTAATTAATCATCAGCTGCATGATGTTTGTTTGTTTGTTTTTGATGGTTTTTGTTTGCAGACACGGTCTCTGCTGGGAGTTTTTGAGGAGGACACTGCAGCCATCTCCAACTACTGCACACAACTGTATCAGGCCATGCAGAGGATTTATGATGCACAGGTACACATGCACACACACATACACTCACTCACATAAACACAAAATCAATAATGTGCTGCTGTTTGGATAGTGTGTGTCCAGCTCTTAGTGCTGTGGATTTGTCTTCCAGAATGAGCTGAGTGCTGCAACACACCTGACCTCCAGACTGCTGAAAGAATATGACAAACAGGTAGGAAATGCCATATTTGTCCCAACCGCAGCACAAGTCTACACACTCAAACACTAGATTATTTTATTATTTTTATTATTATTACAAAGAAGTGCTGGACACTAAATATCTGAAAGCTTCACAAATGAATCACCCTTGAACCAACTGAGATCTCAGTGTGTACATTAAGCTTAGGATCAGGACTTTTTCATAGCCAGCTGGCAATATATAAATGACTAACTTTGTGTTGTGCATGGATTGTTTCACACATTCCCTTGGGGGAAGTTTGACTTGGCTGAGATACCTCACTATTAACTTCTAACTTGGTTAAACTTCATCAATCCTGTTTTATAATAATAAATTTTATTTGTGAGCGCCTTTTTAAAACCCAAACTCACCATACAAAGCATAGAAGACAACTGGTAGTAAGGATAAAAATCAGCATTAGACAATAATTGGAGTTAGGGCTGTTCGATATAATGATATATATCGGATGACGATATAAAAACGTCTATCATTTCATATCGTTTGTTTCGTGGTGTCGCAAAATAAACTGTTTACGGCAATATTTTTTTCATCGTTTTGATGGTCACTGTAGTGGCTATATTCATTTCCTAAAGTTCTCTCTTTCTCTTATATTTTATATAACCACACTACTGAAGGACAAGCGCCTGTTTTTATGCGTTGTCGTTAGCAGCAACGACAGTAACA